TCACGAACGCATGATAACAGGCCTCATTCGAAAGTTATCACTTTTTAAAATTTATGTGGATTTATCATTAGTGGTGCTGCCAGAGTATTATCATTCTACTTAACAGCTGATGTATAAAAGTGTTGAGTTAAAGCAAAATTATGTGACGTTATTAAAATTATATTTATATTAAATGTAGCACACAGAACTTTATAGTAATCAGTGTTTGCTTTATGAATTTTAAACTCACAATTAAAATATTTTAAAAGATTATCTTTGTAAAAATTCTTCTTAATGGACATATGCGCCGCTTTGGAAGTGTCATCATAAATTTCTGCTGGCATTAAGCAGTCACTTTGAGCATATATTTTTAATAATCAGCGAAAATCGCAGTTTTTCAATTTGATTTCATTTCGCGTTTTGCTCAGTTTTGCTACAGATACTTTTTTCTGCTTTTGACAGTAGAGCCTTTAAGCATTTTTCATAAACAAACGCGGCGTGCATATTTAATTTCCGTAAACTTTTTTCGCTTTTTTCGCTTTTTTTCGCTTTTTTGAAGAATTTTAATTGCACACGCGCGTTTAAACAAACAAGCAACAAACATAACAACTGTCAAAACAAGTACGCGTAGTACCGCACTTTATTAATGCAATCAAGCAAACGGACACCCTGTAAGTATGCAATATTAATTTTAGTTTTTCTCTCTCTGTATTGGTTAGTACAGCATTTTCTACCTCTTCGTACTACCCCACTACTTGTTTGTCTAATGATGAAAAATATGTGCTTGTACCACTTGTGACTTAACTAAATATAAAAAATGATTTCAGAAAAATTATTGCACAAGGAAAAGAAAAATAAAACAAAACTGTACGTCGTGAGTACAGCTCGACTAAAAAAAATAGTGCTTTTTTGCTGCTGAAAACAGTGTACAAATGGCTTTTGGAACAAAGTTGTATGCTTTGGCGCCATTTTGTTTGAATGTACACACTTTAAAGGCGTTCAACTTTTAAGCGGGGTGCAGACTATCATACTGGTATGTCATACGAGAGAGAAAAACGTCGTATGACACACAGGTATGATAGTCTGCCACCTTTACCAACGTGTTGGCGTGCTCACCAAAATTTTGGTGAGCAGCTCTCGCATGCGCGTTGTGTATGATAGTCTGTCACCCCTAACGATTCATACGTCATACAAGAGCATTTTTGCCTTGCAAATTTATTGTAAGCAGGTGGAATATGTAGAATTATAATATAAATTTAATATGTTTTATATTATTTTATTATTAATGTATTTATTATTATTATTAAAATTACACTTATAAATTTGTGTTAAATATTTAATTGTATCTTAGTTAAAAAAAATATAAATTTTTACATAAAATTCTTATAAAAAATTAAAATACAATTAAATATTTTATGTAATATATTAAATATTTTGTTTAATTTATTAAATATTTTATTTTCTTTTATTTTAATTTATAAACGATGATTATAAGTAAAATTTTTTTTAAAAAAACATCTATATATAAACATCGTTAAATTTATGATCTAAGCCCAGTAATAAAAAAACATATTGAAAATTGGTCGTAATAACAATTAATTAATAACCTAAATTTAAGATATAATACTTTGTATTCTAAATATGCTTTTCTTTGTTAAAACTTGTTATTAAAATAAAAGAATTTTAAATGTTAATAACCTTTAACTAACAAAAATATGGAAATGATCAAATTTCTTGAAAAACAATGAAGATATATACATTCTTATGTATATATATATATACATTATTTGTATGATCTATTTATGAAAAATTTTTTAAGAAACTTTACAGGTAGTGAATGAAATTAACTACGGTCCTTTACTGATCTTTTCATTTTAACTACTGTGCTTAATGACCAATAAACATAAAAAAAATATGAATATGGATGTAGATAAAGCATTTTTAGATGCTTTCATTGAATGTTAATAAAAGTAATCGCTGTTTGTGGGATGTCCAAAGCTGTGAATATAAAGATCGCAAAAAAAACGCGGCATATATAAAATATACAAAATTATAATCAATTATAATATTATAAGCAAAGCACAACCTATACGTTAACCATCAATTTTTTCAATTTTAAAATTTTATTTTAAATACACAGCACTACCCGCAAAAGCACTCTTCAAAAATTTTGCCTAATCTTGTGTGTCATACCTGTTCAAATTCGGTCGCTAGAAGAAATTTGAGCAAGAGAGAGCGCAACTCGTATGACACACCAGTATGATAGTCTGCACCCCACTTTACTCAAATGCAAACATCAGCAACTCGACCAGTCTTTTTATAATTTCTGCAGTTGGTATTTACGTTTTTTATGCGCCTTTGCTGGCTTTGAGTTAGTCAAGTGCAACAAAGCCAACATGTAGTCAACGTTTTTTTCGCCATATTCGCTTGCTGCTTTATTGCTTCAGTTCCATTGCTTGTGCACATGACGTGCGGCGGTGCTATTAATTTTTATTTGGTAGTTCCTGAATTTTATGTGTTTCACTAATACAATTTATTAGCTTCGAAAAAAATAATCACAATTCAAGTTTATATTTTGAATTATTTTTCTTAAAATTTTGAAACAATAAGTACAGTCCAGTATGATTGGTATTCCTTCAAAATAAATGTACTATTATTGTTGGAGTAAATTAATATATCAAAATAATTAAATGCTGCCATTAGATGAAAATGTGAAAATATAAAAAAATTTGAAAAATATACATATAGAAATATTATACAAAAACTTTATTTAAAATTTTTTGTTATTGTAGTTCAATACTTTTCGAAACCTCTCTACTAACTATGCTACTTTCTATTAAATAAAATACTCACTTCCGTCATAACTGACGTTAAATTACAATTTATATTAAAAATATGTGGTCACGCCTGTGCGAATCGTGGAGTAACATTAGCATACCTTTTCCTTCCTCGACCAGTCTGCTGCCAGATTCCTAGACAACATGTCATTTATCAAAAATAACTTACTTTACAATTACCTTGCCGAGGCAACCGACATTATAGTTCCTTTAGTAAATAGGCATCTGGGCATCCCCAACACCAATAATATGATATATGAAAATCAAATGTTATTACATTACGACAGAAGATATGCCACTAATGATCTAGCCTGCCAAGTGTACTCCACGGCATAATTTATAGGGTAACAAAAAATAGAATCTGGAAAAATCTATATATTATCTTTTAATTATCATTGTAAATATTGTATTTAGTAGCTTTAAGTGCTTAGCTAGTATTAAGGTAGTGTTTAATTATTATTAAATAATAATATAAACCAAAATAATGTTATTTTGCTTTTTTTAATATTTTTTAAAAAAAGTTATTGTCAGCGCATTTATAAATTAACTTTTAATAAAATAAATCATAATGTGAAATACTCTTAAGAAAATACACAATTGTATGCTAAGAACCAGTTGTACACAATAATGTAATTTCTAGCTTTACACTTGTAAACACAAATTTTATTAATAAAGCAACTATTTAAAAATAAAAAATAAATATTAAAAAATTGGCATGATTTTCTAGATTCCTAATTTAGATTCTATACATAAGAAAGAATACATAAATCATGCAATAAATAAAGTTTCTACAAAAGAATAGTAATGAAATTTAACAATTAAAAATAAATGCATAAATAAATTAAATTTAATTATTTATTAAATAAATAATTAATTAATTCAATTATTCTACAGCTGATTTATGATTACGTTTTAATGTAACATAGCAAGTGAATTTGTTACGAATTTTCACAGCAAATTAATAAAACTCCAGAGAAATGTGCGAATATAAAAAATCAAGTACAGCTTTGGGTCAGTTGAACGCTGAGTCTGAGTTTCAAATTTGGCAGGGCACGAGTTCGATTCCTGGTGCTTGCAGTCTCAAGAAAAAAATTTTTTTAGGAATAATTAAATACAAAAATTATTTTCAAGACCACTGATGATGGATATTTGGAAATATTCGAAACAGCTGTATGGTCAGCCAAAAATTCAATTAATTAAAATAATATAAAAGAATTTTTGTTGTTGTAGTTCATCACTTCATCATCAATACTTAGTACTTAGTACTTCTGCAATCGCTTTAAACATTATTACAAAATGATAAAACGTAATAATAAAAAATAATTATAAATATAATATATAGCATAATATAATTTAACATAAATATTTAATATAATATAATTTGGTAAAATTTATAAGCAATACAAATAAATTCAAATTTAAAAAAGATACAACACAATTATAATACTACATATTAATATTATATATAAAATATTCTTAAATAAAATAAAAAGAACAAATATGAATAAATAGTATTAAATGAAAGGAAGTGTTCCAAGTTTATAGAACATCAGTGTCAAAGGTATCAGATTTTAATTAAATCGAAAAATAAAAAGTGCAATACTCGTACTTCGTACCGCGTACTGCGTACCTCGTTCCTTCTCCTTGTATATTTCCACGGAGTCTATTGAGTCTTCATAAATTTTTATAATTCCGCAATACAGAACAATCAGTTTGTTGCGAAAGCCTGGCGGTGATTTGATTTTTATTGCTTTTTTCATTGCACGTTCCTTGGTAATTGCATCTCGCAGCAACTAAATTTGTTGTTGTTACTGTGATGTTGTTGTTGTGATGTTGTGCTGCCAGTTAAGTTGACATTGACTATTCTATTGATAGTGTTTAAAACTGTTAATGGCGTTGATGATGCCTTTAACTGATTCCATTATTTCTTTTTAATTTTGCTTCCATTCCGCCGTTCCTTCCGTATGATGTTGTTTGTAGTTTTGGTCATTAACAATGTTCAAGAAGAAATTATTGGTCTGCAGTTTCTGAAGTTTATGTGATTTCATACATTTTATGATAGTTAAACAATTTTTTTGTGTTTTAATTTTAGATCAATAAATAAATTTTAATTGTTTAAGAGCTTTTAAGATTTAGATTTAGATTTTTATATATTTTACTAATATTGATTTGTTTGTTTTTTAGGTTTGTACGCAATGACAACATTTGGTAAGCTATCTCATTACTTTATCTAATAATTATTCCAATTGAATACATTTTTAATTATTTTTATATTTAGAATGTAGTAATTTATTATATATTATAACAATATTAATATATCAAATAGTTGGTATAATTTCAAACAGAGTTGACGTTTTTTAAATTTATATCCTCTATTTATAAATAATGTATAATATTTATATATTAATATATTATATAATATATTTATTTAGTATAAAATAATTTATTAATGGACCAATTGGTCATTTAAAAAGAAATAAAAAAACTGTGATTTATTATTTATATTTAAAAGCAGTTCATATCTTATTAAAATATTTTACCGATATTTCGATTATCTTCGATAGTCATCTTCTGTAAACTATGTAAACTATGTTGATATAATATTTTTGGTCATAAATAAAAGTATAAAATTTATTTATTATATTTACACATATATAAATATTCTCACATACAGAATTTTACAAATTATTCTTTTGTAATATAATTCCCGATATCTTTTAAAAACAATCTAGCGATCGTTTGACAGTAGAGAATTAGAAATATATTGTGAGAAGTCAGTTTAGTTTTTACATTTGTACAGTGTGTGTTACAGTACAGTTTGGAGTAAATATATGAAGTGAAATAGAATACTTAAATTAAATAATAAAAGATTCCTGACAGTAAACTTTGTAATTTGTTTTTCTGTGGATATTGTCATTAGTGCAATAAAAAATTTAAAATTCTATGATTTGATGTTTAAGGTCTAATGCGCTTTTTGGAGTGCAAGTATCAGGAATTGAACAAAAAATTCGTTCCGAATAGAAAATGACTAATTGTGAGAATATATTCATAAAATTTTAAAGCGATTTGAACTATTTTTACTGAGTTTTACTATAACAGTGCGTTTTATTTTTGATATTTTCAAAATTTATCATAATGATATGAAAACTTTACGATACTAAAATAGTAAAATATCAGCTAACTTATATGTGTATATGTAAATAAGTAAGCATAACAAAAATATTATTTATAAAAGCTTAATAATTACTAAATTCATCAGTACAATTTTATAACATTTTTGTAGAATATTATAAAATTTCAATAATATTATAAGAAAGATCCACATTTATTTAACATTTTTTAACGTAATTTTAGAAGAACTTAAATATTTTTTTTTTATTTTTATCATTATTTATTTTAATAAATTATTATTTATAACAGCTAAAAATTTATTTTTTTTATTTTTATTTGTTTTGACAATATAAAAAAACTTTATAGCTTAACCTTGTTTAATTGCATTAGATAATTTTTTTTTTGCCCCTTTTTTTCAAGGGGCAGCGAATAAAATATAAGGAAAACAATCTTAATATGTTTAGTTACAAAAATATTGCATACATTTACTATCTCTAGATGGAAGTGTTTCATTCATATATCCAAAAAATTTGAAAAATTTTTAATTTCTGTTCATATTTTCTGATATTTAATTTTTGTCTTATATTATTTAATACTTGTCAACATTCAATTTGTTTATAGTGCACATGACACAATACTTCATTATTCCTTTAAATCTCTAAGTAATTTCTTTTAATAATTTTTCAACATACTTCATTAGTTCTTGTCATACAATTTTCTAAGACAAAAACAGACATTGTAAGTTAATATCAGATAAACAACATCTTTTTTGGCACAAAATGCAGCAGAACTACATCAAATGCAGAAACTGCAGCAATGAGGATAATGAAGGATAATGAATGTTATGACATAAACTTAAGAAACAAAGCAGATGTTCTAATTTTTGTTTTTGGATGGATGAAATTATTTTATGAAATTAAATAATTAAATTTCAAATCAGAAACTTTATCTTCTGCTAAATTTAATTAAAAACTAAACTCTCGAAAATCATACATATTTTTGAATATAAACTTAGAGAAACAGTTTCAACTTTCACATAAACATTAACGTGTTTAGTGTAGTATTAGAGAACTATTATCTATGACATATATACAAAAAAAATAAAATTTACAAATTTGTCGTTCAGTTTTCTTCTTTTTAGCATTTTAATGGAAAATTTAATATATAAATGAATATCCGTTATTACTTTTAGTTGAGATTATGTCATTTTGCTTGATATATTACTAATAAACTAATTTCAATATACTGATTACAATCATATTACGTATAATAATGCAAATGAATCATTCTATTACGAACAGAACTGCTTTTGATCTAAACATCTTCGGTTTTTAAGTAATTATTTTCATTAGCTCTATGAAATATAAGATAATTGATTACGTATAGAAATAGAACTACTTCAAAAATTAAAACTGTTTATATCCGATTACTAATATTAATCGTTCGTTTAAAAAAAAAACTTTTTTAAAATATACATTAAATATTTCAAAACCTCATTTTTTATTTGTATAGTTTTTTATTTTATTATATTTAGTTAAATAAAATTTTACAATAGGTATATACTATTAAAAGTATTTAGTTTTTATTTTTAATTTGAATTTATCATTTGCTTAAAAATTCTGCTTAAAAATCCAAATTTGCAGGTTATATTTTTAAAAGCATTTAAAAAAAAAAATACACACCTTTATGGTATATGATTTTTCTCATTAAATTAAGCTCCGAAAAATATACTACAAAATATTTATTTTTTTATTACGAATTTCAATTGATTACATACGTATGTGTTTCCATAATTTTTATGTACTTGAGCGATATCTCATGTATTTTAACACTTCGTTTGGAAAACGTTGCACGATATCCACAACACACGGAAAGATACAATCATCTTAAAGTGGGGTGCAGACTATCATACTGGTATGTCATACGAGAGAGAAAAACGTCGTATGACACACAGGTATGATAGTCTGCCACCTTTACCAACGTGTTGGCGTGCTCACCAAAATTTTGGTGAACAGCTCTCGCATACGCGTTGTGTATGATAGTCTGTCACCCCTAACGATTCATACGTCATACAAGAGCACTTTTGCCTTGCAAATTTATTGTAAGCAGGTGGAATATGTAGAATTATAATATAAATTTAATATGTTTTTTATTATTTTATTATTAATGTATTTATTATTATTATATTTATTGTTATTAAAATTACACTTATAAATTTGTTAAGTATTTAATTGTATCTTAGTTAAAAAAAATATAAATTTTTACATAAAATTCTTATAAAAAATTAAAATACAATTAAATATTTTATGTAATATATTAAATATTTTATTTAGTTTATTAAATATTTTATTTTATTTTATTTTAATTTATGAACGATGATTATAAGTAAAATTTTTTTTAAAAAAACATCTAAATATAAACATCGTTAAATTTATGATCTAAGCCCAGTAATAAAAAAACATATTGAAAATTGGTCGTAATACATTAATTAATTAATTAATAACCCAAATTTAAGATATAATACTTTGTATTCTAAATATGCTTTTCTTTGTTAAAACTTGTTATTAAAATTTTTAAATGTTAATAACTGAATGTTAAAAAATGAATTTTAAATGTTAATAACCTTTAACTAACAAATATATGGAAATGATCAAATTTCTTCAAAAACAATGAAGATATATACATTCTTATGTATATATATATATACATTATTTGTATGATCTATTTATGAAAAATTTCTTAAGAAACTTTACAGGTAGTGAATGAAATTAACTACGGTCCTTTACTGATCTTTTCATTTTAACTACTGTGCTTAATGACCAATAAACCTAAAAAAAATATGAATATGGATGCAGATAAAGCCTTTTTAGATGCTTTCATCGAATGTTAACAAAAGTAATCTCTGTTTGTGGGATGTCCAAAGCTGTGAATATAAAAAACGCAAAAAAAAACGCGGCATATATAAAATATACAAAATTATAATCAATTATAAGCAAAGCGCAACCTATACGTTAACTATCAATTTTTTCAATTTTAAAATTTTATTTTAAACACACAAATTTTCACAGCACTACCCGCAAAAGCACTCTTCAAAAATTTTGCCTACTCTTGTGTGTCATACCTGTTCAAATTCGGTCGCTAGAAGAAATTTGAGCAAGAGAGAGCGCAACTCGTATGACACACCAGTATGATAGTCTGCACCCCACTTAAAAGTTGAATGCCAAGTCCTTAACTCAATTTTGAGTTTAAACTTTCCTGATACAGGTTTAGTTAGTTTTCTATTGACAACACTGACTTTCTAACATTCGTTTTATTTGATAATATCGATTCGATTTTTATAAAATTAATGCCATAATTTAAACTAATAAATATTAGTTTATTTTTCCAAAACTTTTATTTTCAAGAAGCATATTTTTCGTCTCGTTTGTTGCTGTTCCCAGCAGCTGTGATTTGAAATTGTTTCGCTTAGGGACTAATAAGCTTTGGCACTATCTCATCAAACATTCCATGTTCTGCTTATATTATTTACTTAAAAATATAGCCTCACGGCTTATATTAGCTATTCGTAACGTTTTCTATGACAATGCTTAAAGCACATTTAATGTTTTTTATATGCTAATGTGTCGCTTAAGTATACTTCAGCGATTACAAGGAACAACTAATTATTATGGAATACAAAACTTCTAACAAATGTTTTTTCACTATTTAATGTAATAATGCTGCTTGTACATATAAATATTTAATAAATGTATGCGACTGGATTTTTTCCTTTTTAATAAACTTTATTTGTATATTTTTTTAATTTTTATTTTTAATAATATTATATATTTTAGCTCCTAAGAATATTGTTGCAATTTTTTTTTTTATATTAATTTTTTTTTATTACATTTTAGTGTAATAAATTTTATTTTCTTGTATTATGATTACTTTTAATTAATTTTATTTTGTTTTATATATAAATATATTTTATATTAATTTATTTTACTTTAATTTATTTTATTTAAATTTATTTTATTTAAATTTATTTTATATTAAATTATTTTATTTTAATTTATTTTTTATAATTTTAATTTATACTTGTTTTGATTTATTTTATT